AGTCTCTTACTCTCAGCTGTCCGTCAGCCCAGCAAACATTTTAGTCGGGAAGACCTTTCCCCAGTTCTGATGGAGCTGAGGGAGAGGAAGCTACCATCAGGCGTGGGAAAGGACTACGACATAAAAAGTTTGCTGGAGTCTGTTCTGGTCTGGCTGGATTCGTTTGGCGGCGACACAGAGAGAGAGTTATATGACAACGACTCCTGCTCTAACTGTGGAGCCACTTCCCTCAGGCTCCTGAACAACGGCGCCCTGATTGCCCTTCCACCAGTATTATTTTCAACCAGTATATCCATACTGCTTGAGTACTGGTTGGATTTGGCATGCAAACGCCGTTGTTCAGGCTGCGGGTCACCCTGGCAGAAAAAACATTGCCTGGCCGATAATAAGGTCCTGGTGTTTTTTCTGCACAGGTTTACCAGGAAGTACCAAACAAAAGCCATAGAGACCATAGAGGTGCCTGCAGAATGTGGGACGGAGACGTACCACCTGTCCTCCGTCATCTGTGGGGATCCAAAGCTGACAGACATCTACTGTTGCTTAATGAAGGGAGAACGAACTGTCAAGGCACACGACGAGCATGTCTTCACTGCAGACAGCGACTGCAGTGAAGACATGTCCAACAACGGTTTCATTTACATTTATGAAAAGAACTGATCAAACACCAGAGGTTAATTTCTCCAGCCCCTCCTCTGGAAGATGGCAAAGGGCCCTTTGGAGAGGAGCTAAAAATAACATTAACATCGGAAGAAGAAAAGAATCCTAGAAGACCTAGTAACCATTTTGAGGCTGGAGAAATCTGACTGGGACCAAACATGTGTCTGATTTAAATTTATGGGGCAAAAGGTAAAAAGATTTGACAGGTTTCCTGTTTGCAGGTTTCTCTCCGGGCACTCCGGCTTCCTGCCACAATCTGAAATAGGGGTTGCATCAATTAGTCGACTAGTCAATTCTTTTTTCTGCAATGACTTTTTTCTGGGCTAGTCGACTAGTCGCAATCACATGACAAAACAGATTTTTCCAAGGAAATGAAAGAAGGTGGACTAGGTGAGTTCGTCAGAAAGCTCAAACTGTATAAAAATGTAAATAATTTAACAAAGACAATCTGTAAATTACAGCATAGGCTACCGCAATAGGGGCGTTGCGCAGCGCGGTGGTTAGCACGGCGCCCCGCTTACAGAGACTTTAGCCCGTGGTAGTCAGGAGTCCAACTCCTGTCCTTCATTCGCTAATTTTATGGAAAAGACTTCTGTCTTAACGCTTTACTGTTTTATATTGTAAAGTTCTGGTAGTTTAAGCCGTCTTCCTTCACCTTAGGTGAAATGTTTTCAATGTGCTTCTACAGTACGCATTTGTACAGAGCCTCTAAACATGGGAAAACGTACCTTTGAGGCATAGTTGTGTCCGTCTGATCCACACACTGGCCCGGTGGAGGAGATGGGACATGGCTGACAGTTCCCATCAGGAGAGCGGAGAGCGGGCTGCTTCAGTCTGTGGGGTAAGGGACATGCAAATACTTCACCCTTACTTCATCAAGCTCAGACAGCCACTGCCATATTAACTCAGAGTAGAGACTCAGCAGCTCCAGGCTGGGCATGAGATCACGATGCAAACAGTCCCCCTCCATGTTGTCTGAATGTATTAGCTTCTCATTACACAGCAGGAGCCCTCTTATTGTTCCCACTCTGGCCAGCAGCAAAACACATCCCACTCTAGCAGCAGTGTAGACTATCAGTGTTGACCTCATGTCAGCGTGCTGGAGGAAGTTTTCTCAATCTTTCTGTGTCTGGGGAATTAGCCAATCAGTCTTTCTTTCTACACACGCTCACCTGTGCTCCAGCTTCTTGCGGTTGACGCACACGGCTCTCTGGTAGCCCTGGGCGATGCACACCTTGTGTCGGCTACACTTAACCTTCTGACAGGGGTCCTTGGTGGTGTCTACATCTGGGAAACAAACGGAAAATTGGACGTGAACGGTGATGCTTCGCAGCTTCATTTCTCTGCTAACAAATAGATTCCTCTGCTTATAGTTTTGCATTTGGCTTCCAGCCTCAGCTCCCACGTGGCTCGCCTTGGCTTACTCAGAAAGACCTGAGAGTTGGTCTGAATTGTTACATAAGTGCAAAGCTGTTGCTCTTTTGATGTTGTAAAATTACATTAGGATCTGTATTGAACTGAAGGAAAATAAAGGAGGATGTTCTTACAAATAAAAGCTTAAGACACTTTGTTAATATTTTCCTAAAGTTTTGTTTTCGTTGCTGCCACAGAATTCCACATTTTTTCACAAGGCACCCTGCCCTGCATGTTTCAGGTGTTTCCTTGCTTCAACAACAGCTGATTCCAATTGATGGCTGATTAACAGGCACTTGCTGAACTGCAATCGCCTGAATCAGGAATATTAAGGCAGGGAAACATTTAAAATATGCAGGGCAGTGTGCCACGAGGCCCAGGGCTGGGAAACACTTCTCTAGACTATTGCATGCCAAGGTGAGTAAATCTTCATCAGCGAAGACAGATTGTTTGCATAGTGTGGTATGAGGCTGCTGCTGCAACATTTATGCAGTTTTTGTGTAAATATTGCAGCAGTAGCAATGGAAGGCAATGCTATTCACCTATAGCAGCATGCAGTGTGTTTGTACGTCATTAGCGTGCAAGATGTGTAACAGTTTGATAGTTCCTGTGTTCAAAACAGTGCACTTTGTCTTGAGACTTGGAGCTGTGTACCTGCTGTGTACAAAAGAGCAGAGCCTGTATAAATACAATAAGGAAATATTTGTTTTTCATGGCCTGTTACAGAAGGAATATGCCCTCTGCTGTGATCTGAGGACATTGGTGGTCAGTTTGCAACAAACAAACCTGAACCCTACTGTATTATCTGTTCCAACCTCTCTGCCACCATGGGTGGGAACAAAGTCGTAACCAAAAGACATCTGGGACATCACATTGGATCTGCAGAAGCCTGGAACGGGCCTCAAAAGCGGTCAGCAAGAATCTGGTTGAGTTATTTCAACGTCGAAGAATTATAAAGTCATCATTCATTTCCTTTGTCTAGGGCTTCATAAAAGATCTTATTATTCATACACATTTTGTACCAGCCTGTTGAACATCTAACTGATTCCAGAAGGAATTAGGAGAAAGTTCTGCGGTAATATGAGAACAAAACTGGACTATTTGGGCTCAACTCAGACCTGCTATGTTTGGAGAAAGCTAAAGTTACAGAATTATTGGGAAACGTATGGATAGGTTCACGTACCAAGAAATCTTGGACAGGAACCTTCTTCTTTCAGCCACAAACAACGAAGGATGACGATGACTACTTTTATTTTAGTGCTACATCAATTAGTCAGTTTTTTATTAATGTGGTATAACTGTTACCATCTCTTTGATTTATTTATGGACATTACATACTAAACTTTAGTTGACTCTGACAGAGAAAAGCTTCTTGCTACTTGAACTAAATCTAAATTGCTTGCTCGGTGTGTCTCCATCCATCATTCACTCTTGAAGCAGCTAACGTGAGACAGTTTGTCAGCCTTTCTCTATATGCTCATCTGTCACAGCTATCTACTCCGAACAGGCCTCCCAGAGCCTGACCTGGAAGTGGCCTTGCCGTCCTTTTTAACACCGGGCGGTCTTCCATTCATCTACATGTCCGCCTCTGTTCACTGCCAGAGCAGCAAACAGAAAGGAGGTGGGGGGGGGTGGAAGGCAACTCATCTGTGCCCCCGTAAATCATACTCGAATTCATTTTCTTCTCTCACTGAGTGCCGTTTTTATGGCTATATTATCATTAAGGCTTATCATCTCCTCTCTTTTTTTTCCTTTAAACTGAATATATTCATGCGGCAAATTCCCGTGGATTATTGTAGCCGTCGGACAGATATCTGATTTTTTAGAAGCAAATCCAAAACAATACGACGAGCTGTCGGGACTGAGATTGTTACATAAGTGACAGGCTGACTGCTCCGCTGCAGGAACTGTGAATGCCCAAATGCAGACTCCTCACCTCCTCAGAATATCGACATTAAAGCCTTATATTTGGTTGACTTTCTGTACCGTCTCCCGCAGCGCCACCGGCTTCCTCTGCTCTCCACCCTTTTTGTCCGTTTTGTCTCTCTGATGCAGGTCTGTTGTTTAATTCCCACCAGAACACAAGCAAAAAATACAGCACCGGGAGTCACAAAAATTAAAACGGCTTCGTGTACACAAAATGTATTTTAAGCAAACCCTTTTACTGAAGCAATAACTAAACAAAAATAATCCTGCCTTCCGGGACGGAAACATTTCTGATGAAATTGTGTCCCCTGTGAGCAGCCAGAATACTGGCACAGCGTTGTGTTGTGAGTGCAGAAGCATAAGGTGGCTGCCTGAGCCTCATGTTAACTTAACAAGCTTCCACGGATTAAAGCAGTGCCTGCGATGATGACGTTTCCATGGCAACAGGCTCTCCGTGGTCTGAGAATCATTTCTTGGTAGACTGTGATTTGCAGCTCAATCTGCTGCTTCTGAGAATCCTCTCTCTAGATGTGTTTGAAACCCCCCCCCCCCCCCCCCCCCCCC